GGTGGTTCCGTCGTAACATCCCTTTCTCTTTATATAGTACTAGGGTTGGGTCTATATACCTATATGTCTATATAACGCTGTTTATAAGCGTGACACGCCCCTGTGTGCCAGTCTATATTCGACATGAAGTTGAAACATGAAGGGGAGCTTTAAAAAGAAAACACTTATGTGCCATAGTCAGAAGGAATATGAGTGAGTGAGTGAGTTTAGCTTTACGCCGCTTTTAGCAATATTCCAGAAATGGGCTTCACACGTTGTACCCATGTGGGGAATCGAACCCGGGTCGTCTGCGTGACTAGCGAACGCTTTAACCGCTGGGCTACCCTACCGCCCGAGAAAGAATATGATTGGAACTACACTTGTGATATTCTTTTATTAGTTCTACCAGGTATCTTCAAACATGTGTGGATTGCAGGTTTGTTAATAGAAGAAGCTGTTATTCTGTAGAAACTCGAGAAAAATCACAACATGAAGATTATAGGCAAATTATAACATTCAACTGAATATGAGGCAGACGTAGACACACATATATACATTGTGACATCTGCTAACGTTTAGGCAACTTGCATCTGATTGTATCCTTCATGGCAAAGTATTCAAGGCTACCTGATTGTATCCTTCATGGCAAAGTATTCAAGGCTACCTGATTGTATCCTTCATGGCAAAGTATTCAAGGCTACCTGAGTGTATCCTTCATGGCAAAGTATTCAAGGCTACCTGATTGTGAATGTTACTAGTATGGTTCAAGTCTGTCTTAACAAGAATGACCATTGTTATTGATTGTAGGCAAATGGCGGCCTTGTGATGAAGCTGTCTTAGCTCAGACCAATGGTAGTCTTTTTCGATAAAAATTAGAACTGCCGTAGGAGCTACTGTTAAAGACTTCTTATAGATAGTTATTTTGTGTCATTTTGTATCCAAATGTATTGGCTTGAGTGTATAGTTTTACATATTTAATGTGGACATTCTAACGTAAAACTTAAACTTCGTATGTCGGCCTTGATAGATCCCTATCCTTTCGAGATTGTGTTTGTGGAAAAAAGCAGATAAGGGACATTTTAACATGTGTGTTCTCTTCTACGATTAAGAGGAGTGTTTATCGAGATAGTGGATATGAAAATAGAAAACATTAATAAGCACGTCTGTGTGTGAAAGAAAACATGACTAAACGACACGTCCGATAAGAGGAACAGTTTATTTTGCATGCTGGAAAATTATTCAGGCAAAATTGACAGTCATTCCTGACAATGAGTTTGTGATACAGGTCCAAGATGCTAATCTACTTTCATTCAGACACATTTAGAACTTAGCTCGGAACGACAGCACAACATTCTTCTCCATCTCACAGAGTGTATTGACCTTCAAAAGACGTCACAGAGCCATCGCGACATTGTGGAACTCACTTCAGTCGTAGGGAGCGATATATAAACTTAATCAAGCAGTGCCACCAACAAACAACCTGTATTTACAGGAAGAAATTGTACAATAAATACGTTGTTTCTGTGACTTCAAAGAAATGTCACTTTTCAATTCAAACTATTGCCCAATACGAATAACCTGAACTCAATAAATTTTCTGTTTTCTATTTTCACGAATGAGAAGCAAATGAGTCACTACAACTGAAATGTCCACATAATACACAGTTGTACAAGATGAGGCCTGATATATGCAGGCACTTCATGAAAAGAACCGTTGGCCAATATTCCGACCTAAAACACTGTACACTGAAATAATACAAATCACCCGAAAGCTTCTGAGCCTAGTTATTAGCTATCATTTGGAATTGATTTAAAATGCTGCTTTAGGGAGGTCATTTCTTTAAAAAAATGCGTTGTGTTTTTTATTCATGTCGATGTTCTACAGGCAACCATGGATGATGACGCCGAAATGTAGTCATTGGCTTAATGGTACACAGTAACAGCACCTGTTTGACGCCGTTTGCAGTTGTATTTCAGTTACATAATGGCTGTCACCTTATTGTGGAAGGAAAACCCCAAATGAAGAAGTTCTTGGACGTTTACCATTTTGAAACACGGGCATGGTGTTGACAGCCTTATAAACATAATCAAGGTGAAAATGAGATTTAACGCACGATCACATGACCTGGTACGGCTAAGGGACCTAACTCTGCTCAGCGACTTGCGGCTGCTTAGACGACTTGGTCACCAAAACCCCTCCACTATGCAGCCTGTCCAAAGGTAATGTAGGCCACAACGTATCTGGCAGACTGAAAGACGTTCATTTGTCATGCCATGAAACATCTTAAAGGTCACATAAACCCTAGGGGGTACAAATACATAAATCACTAACTGGCATCGTTATAAATGAAACCCCGTCATTAAAACTACTCATTTCGACCTTTAATTGACTTAAATCGACCTTTTTGACAACAGTGCACAATTCTCACCCGCGAACGAAATTTCAACCAATCAGAGCGGCGCGTCTCTGTGACGTCATATGAGGAATAGCTTTGAGGGCCGATGCAGAATTCATCTACATTTTAGGGGGGTAAATTATCTTGTTTACAGGCTTGTATAAACCTGAAATCGTGACAATTGTTGTGGAAAATGAAAGCTATATGTTCTCACAATCTACTGTCATTTAATTTTGTCTCCTGCTTTGCCTAGTTTCCGAGTTACAACTTGTTTTCATAGACGATTCTGTCAAAATCGATTGGTGTCGTTAGGCCCTATTTGTATAATGACTGATCTAAATTGATCCCATTTCTGTGTTTTTTTACCTCGATATTTAATCATGTCATGTAAAAATCTGTTTGTATTCTCAAAACAGTGTCGGCCCATAAGTTTTCACATGCAATACAGCAATTAATACTCCCTTGTTGTAACCCGTGTTAGGTGGTATAAACCTACACATGTTATTTGTCATCATTCACTTGATGGTCAGTTAATGAATTTATAACAGGTATAATTAGTGGTAACACACTTAGATTACCCGACAAAGGTTCCCATTTGGCATTTCTTGTGTCTGGAGTAAATATTCAACATTATAAACATCGATCAAAGGATTAACCGATAACACGCTGATTGATTAATTACTTTTATCTTACACAGCGGAATTGTCAAAAGGTAGTGTTTATGTATGTAGATTTACTAATCTATACTGAATACACTCTGTCGTGTCGGTGTCTGCGTAAAAACAACGTGCTTCGTTCAAAGGATTAACCGGCAATACATTGATTGATTGCCCATTATTGGCTAACTAATTTACTGTTTTTTAAAGAAAGGCGGACATTATGCAATTAGTTGCCAGGTGTGCTATCTTGGGTGACCAATGAGACTATACACCAATACCTGAAAAGATTGATCACTTTTTCGTATATTAAACTGTTAAACGACACATCATTTGGAACAGTTTTGTGGATATTGATGGATACATTCCTCGAACAAGGTAATGGCCTGATATTGTTCCTATAACTTTAATCTGTTTTAATTTTAATATTTGCATTTTGTTTTTATTCATTTGTCGTAGCATTCAACAGAATCATTGTTTTCGCCGTGAAGTGTAATGAGACAGACAACATACACTAGGGTGTGTGTGCGGATTATGATTCACATTGGCAAACTATAAAATGTCTAGCTATTACAGTTCTGTTATAAATTCACTATAAGTATCAGCAGATCGTCTGCTTTTTATTTAGTTTCAAAATGCATACAAGTATGATAATAAACTAATTAGGATTATAAGACCAAATATAAAGACGCACATTGACTAGTATCTACATACTGGTGAGTGGACATTAACCATGTGAATGTAGCAAGAAATTTATCGCGCAGTATTGTAACTTCGACCCCCACCTCGCTTCCGTGGAAGAAATCGTTATGTTATAAGTTGTGTCATGCATAATCCGTTTGGTTATGATTCCAATAACTATTTAACTACGAGTAGAAAGTAGTTTTGATTTTCTAACTTGATGAAAACAAACTATAATCTCATTAATTCTAACAGACTTTACGATTTTCAAAAATGGCGGCGCCCTGTCGGGAACATCCGCCAGTCTGAGGATAAATGCTATTTAGGTTTGTTTTCACCGAGTTACAAAATCAAAACTACTTTCTACTGGTAGTAAAATATTTATTTTATTGATGGCCAATAGGATTTTGCATGACATAGCGTATAACATAACAATTTCTCTCCTGGCAGCGAGGTGGGTGTCAATATAATACTACTTACAATATTATTGTTACTTCGACCACAACCTCACTTCCGAGGAAGAAATCGTTATGTTACAAGTTGTGTCATGGAAAATCTTTATGGTCATCAATCATATATATTTTACTACAACTAGTAAGTAGTTTTGATTCTTTAACTTCCGTGAAGCGATCTGAACACAAGTAAGATATCGTTTCAGGCTTCCACAACGCTCGCTTCGCACTCACAAACATAACCCATTTAGCACGAACTGCGGGGTTCTGTGGAAATCTGTGCATGGTGACACCATCGCCCGACCCCCTAGGAGCAATTGACGACAAAGCAACGATTCGGCATGTCGTCGTTGATGTCGAGAAATCATCAAAATGATGAGCATGCTACACACTTTCTATACAACTAACTGAAAATCGTTCCTCATATGACGTCACTGCAGTGCTCTGGCGACAGAGTTACGTAACATGTCTGTGGTTTCGTTGGCGGGCGAGAGAGAAGCAGGCGACTTTTTGGCCACTTTTAATCGCTCGGTATTAATTAACCACAAGTTTTTAAAGAATAAATTTTGTCTTCCGCATAAGACTAACCACAAATCTTTCATATGTAATGGTTAAAAGAGTAACAAAAAACAAAGTTTAGTGGTTCTTTAAGGTTTTGCCCATCTGAACTGACTTTATTATTACGGCCTAGGATATGGTGAAGATTGATTTATGTTGGAAGAAAATGTAACTCTGATTATCAAAGTGTTCCTATTTACAATCAGCTAGCTGGCTCTACTGCTCACGATGATTTATCGACTTCCGGTGTACTCGACGATAATGACTACCATATTTTCAATGTATTATTCATTCACTCATGAATATGTTACATCCCGAACAATAACCGTTCACAAACAATGCTACTTCCCAACTTGTAGATTTAGGATACAATTTTCCATCTGAACATTGTTTAAGAAAAAAATTCAACCCCTGATCACATTGGCAACATGATAGCTGACACGTCAACTTTCAAAATTCTGAAATTTTTGGGAATTCGGAAAACCTAGGAAAACCACATATGACCACTTTATACAAGTGAGGAAACATGATCGAGTCCTCGCGAAAACAGCTGCTTTTTTGCTCATTTGTGGGTAAACATGCATGAGGATGGGACGGATGACGTGCCCCACTGTTAGGTCAGCTGGACCATCTGTCCAGTTGAGGTGAAGCATGGTCTGCTGGACAGGCAGACATCATACACACAGACAATACCTACATATATACATACGATCTACTTACTATCTGTACACGCTGACCAGGTGTGACTGATCATATGCAACTGGAAATCAGGGAGTGTACAGTATGGTAAATGTACATGGTGATTCGCGATATACAGACGGGTTTAACCACAATTAGCAGAACGGGTCGTTGTTGTATAGGTACTACTTATATATATATATACCGAGGTACCTTTCTGTTCCAAAACAGTCTCTTAGTAAAGATCTGATTACACAAATATACACCAACTTTGCAACGTTGAGCACTGGAGACGAGGCATCTTCACCATTAATAAAGATTTTACTTTGAAGACTTGTCCAGTCATTACTTCCAAACTGATCTCGCGATTTGAGGAATGGACACGTTTATTTGTGCTTGACGTACTTTGCCAAATCTGGTGTAATCTGACTTCAGGAAAATTACAGTTTTAAGTCGGGCAGTGCGATAGTTCTTATGACTTTATCATATTTTGCCGACTCTCCACTTCATGGAACACCAATCCTCCAATATACGTACGCAACCTTTTTAATGACGCCCCTGTAACAAATGACCAGTCCCTCTAAATAACGTTCAAATGGCAAAAACAACAACCCATAATTTTTGGCCACCCGCCCCGCTTCTGCCTGTCATTGTTTCGTGATCCCGGGGTTCATACCTACATAACATTGACCCTAACTGCTATAGCAACACACAATGATCCACGATTGTCTCTTCAAACGCGCTATACAGGTTAATTTAGAAGTATTTTATACAGGCCACATCAAGTGCATAAAAGAACAGATATATAAACAAATTTATGTTCATGGTCCGTTTGAGTATAAATGTATATATATATACACACACACACATGGGTACACAGTAATTATGCATCAGCTGCATATAAACAGTGCACTTCTTTAAAACTCTATTGCATAAAGTCCCGTGAATGTTGATGATGATTTATCCGGGCGAAACCAATGATTAATATATTCTCCGGATCATAACTGAACTGGTTGTACCTTTCCAATGCGCAGCAACTATTACCTCTATGCACACATTCGCAGTCAGGGAACCAGTCAAGCGACATTGTTCAGAAAACAGGAACACAATACTGAACAACTATACTAGTCAAAAGATGTAATGACATGACAGAGTAACATCTGTAACATGAAGGATTTGGATGGTCCTTTACGTCTTTAGAGTAGTATAGTTTGTGGTTCGCACGCCATGGTCTGTGCTTTGGTATGAAGCTCGCTTGACGAAAATCAATACACCTTTAGAAGTCACGTGCAATAATGCTTTAGGAAGATGCTAAGTGTGCTACTTAACTGTCGGGCAAAAGAATATACTTGAAAATTTGATTTGACAAAAACGTTCACAAACGCTATTAAAACGTTACAATGCAGAAAGCTTCCATCCATCCATCACTATCGAATAATCATTTCTAGTATGTTTCATGTTCAGCTTTCATCAAACACGGGGGTACTTTCTTTTGTCCGACACTTTACAACTGACGAACACAGTACGAGGTATATACAAAAGAGTACAATGAAGTCTTTGATAGAAACATCTGATCAGTATAAAAGTGTCTTATGTGTAAGTCCACCCAGGCCTCAAAACAAAGAAATAATGAACATTTATGAAATCTGCATACTTATCAATACTAACTTATATAATACATATACAAATGTATCATTAAATACTTACACACCGTACGTGAATATCTGCTTCAAACACTAAAAAATACCATCCTCAAGGAGACCTGAGCTTTCAACGATGAAGCGTTTGTAAGTCGTTAGTTTGTTGAACGCCACGTGGTTGTTGCAAGGCACATCCACATCCACACAATCCGAATAAGGAAATAGGCATGTTAATGTTATCCAGATAAGGGAATAGTAAAGCAAACAGCTTCGTTTTCGGATAATTCCGAAATAACAGGAATATACTGCAGTATGAACTCAGTATTAATCAGCACTCATTCCGGAAAGTATTAATCAAAATTGGAATAGTTTCCGAATACGTCGTTTGGATTCGGGAACCTGAAATCTAACATTGAATGAAAAGCGAAACTGGATTCCCCTTGAGACATCAGCTCGGACTTCCGGTATAAGCGGAAGTCATCAGTATGACACGCAGACGTTGAGGTTGTCTCTCCGTCCAATCAGGAGGTTTTCCTCGCGTGGTATGTGGTATGTATTGCTATCAGTGCCATGTTCACTCATAGAAAACTGGACTTTTCTTTGCTGTTTGCTGTGAAATCTGGTTTATCCTTCAAGGAAAACAGAGAATATATTTCAATAGCAGATCAGTTTAACACCGAAATAGGTTTTATTAATCCTGTTGATTTCAGAGACTCGAAAGAGAGAGGGTTTGGTGTTTCCAGAACGCCGATTACAGAGGAGAGAATGTTACAGAGTTGGGTGTAGAGAAACACAATAGTACAGAAGCTGCTGCAGAGACGGTGACAAATATTGATAGACCAGTGTAGAGAATATTGAGAGATGAGTATAGAGAGTATGACTATTTGTCAGACGCTGCTATAGAGAGAGTGGAGTATATTCAGAGCCTGGTGTAGAGAGAGTGACGAATGCTGTAGATATAGTGACGAATATTCAGAGCCTGTGTAGAGATAGTTACGTATATTCGGAGCCTGGTATAGAGATAGTGACGAATATTCAGATGCTGGTATGGTGAGGATGACGTATGTTCAGAGGCTGGTATAAAAATTGTAACGAATATTCAGAGGCTGGTATAGAGATAGTGACGAATATTCAGAGGCTGGTATAGAGATAGTGACGAATATTCAGAGGCTGGTATAGAGATAGTGACGAATATTCAGAGGCTTGTATAGAGATTGTGACGAATATTCAGGGGTCGTATAGAGACAGTGACGAATATTCAGAGGCTGGTATAGAGGTAGTGACGAAAATTCAGAGGCTGGTATAGAGATAGTGACGAATATTCAGAGGCTGGTATAGAGACAGTGACGAATATTCAGAGGCTGGCATGGAGATAGTGACGGATATTTAGAGGCTGGTATAGAGATAGTGACGAATATTCAGAAGCTGGTATAGAGATAGTAACGAATATTCAGAGGCTGGTATAGAGATAGTGACGAATATTCAGATGCTGGTATGTTGAGGATGACGTATGTTCAGAGGCTGGTATAAAAATTGTAACGAATATTCAGAGGCTGGTATAGAGATAGTGACGAATATTCAGAGGCTGGTATAGAGATAGTGACGAATATTCAGAGGCTGGTATAGAGATAGTGACGAATATTCAGAGGCTGGTGTATAGAGATAGTGACGAATATTCAGAGGCTGGTATAGAGATAGTGACGAATAGTGACGAACAGTGACGAATATTCAGAGGCTGGTATAGAGGTAGTGACGAAAATTCAGAGGCTGGTATAGAGATAGTGACGAATATTCAGAGGCTGGTATAGAGACAGTAACGAATACCCAGAGGCTGGCATGGAGATAGTGACGGATATTCAGAGGCTGGCATAGAGATAGTGACGAATATTTAGCGCCTGTATAGAGATAGTGACGTATATTCGGAGCCTGGTATAGAGATAGTGACGAATATTCAGAGGCTTGTATGGTGAGGATGACGTATGTTCAGAGGCTGGTATAGAGACAGTGACGAATATTCAGAGGCTGGTATAGAGATAGTAACGAATATTCAGAGGCTGGTATAGAGATAGTGACGAATATTCAGAGGCTGGTATAGAAAGAGTGACGAATACTCAGAGGCTTGTATAGAGATAGTGACATATATGCTAAGGCTGGTATGGTGAGGATATGTATATTCAGAGGCTGGTATATAAGAGAGTCACGTATATTGAGAGGCTTTTATGTAGAGAGTGACGGCATATGTGCAGACAGTTTGTAGACAGTATAGAGAGGTTGACGAATATTCAGAGGCCAGTGTCGAGAGAGATGATCACGGAGTGGCCTGTTTCTTTACCTTCTTGTTGTTCTTGTTGGCCTTGAGCAGGAGGTTGGCAGAGTACTCCGCGAGACAGGCCAACCCTGCAATCACTATACCGCCGACCAGGATGAAGAAGACGCCAGCCACGTTCTCAATCTGGAGTTCCGACGTCTCATCCGACGACGACTTGGCGGGGTCCGGGCAGCTCCTGCTTCCCCACCACCTGCACCCCGGGAAGAAAATAAACCGATTAAACGTAAGAAGTTCACTTCCTCCATTACTTACCTGGATGACATATGACGGCCTTACTTTGTTTTTGGTAGCGTTACAACACTCGCCTCCCCAACTGTACCCCTGTGGGATTCGAACCAAGATCAAATTTCTATTATTTAGTGTAAACTCTAGAGATTAAAGATCTATTTCTTTCACAAGAAACGAACAGTTTCTTCTTCTCGGGCATGTCAAGCATACGTTTGGGACTACAACCCTGTCAGAATGCACACAGAATGTTTTGATTTATCTGAATTTATGCTAAATGTAAATACCAGAGATCATATGGGAATGGAATAAATCTAAACTTGGAAATGAGTTCATTAGTGACGTCAGTCCCTTGAGTTGCCGTTCCTCCTTCATGGAAAACACCGTTACAGTAATTACTTGAGATGTCCCGAGAGCAGACTGAGTGTTTGTATATGAGAAAACCAAACTACATTTTTATGGACAGTGCAAGGAAGCTGGTCTGAGAAGCATATGCCGGTGAGCTGGTGTGGCGATACTTTGCATACAGAATAGTATAACTCAATACAATTACCAATGCATGCAGCAGAATTGTCACCCGTTTATACCAAGGTTCTCCTGCACAAAGTGTTCTTAGCACTACGATGACCCATATGTTAACATTAGCTAAATCATAGTTATAGCACAAAGTCCGTTTTGTACAACAAGGCCTAGAATGGATTTTGAGATTTTCTCTCGTTAGAGTTTGTTTATGCAATATGTGTGAACTCAATTTGAGGTTTAGAAAGGGACTTGCCTCGCGAAAACCAGCATTGTCCCAGTCACTCTGTGCGCAATGACACTACATCAAGAGAGCCACCGAGTCTGAGCCACTTAGTCCCTTCCTATGACCACCATACGTTGCTGCATTGAGACCCATCTATTCCAGACTGACGAAGTCGTGCCTTATAGTTAATACGTTAATACGTTTCTGTAGCTACATCTACTGAGCCCATGTATACATATGTACCTAACTGTAAACGATTGTACGCATACTCACTTGTTCTCCAGTTCATGCAATATGCCACTATCGCTGAGCTTCAGTATGGTCATGGAGAGTTCTTCCAGATAAGTCGCCCCTGGTGGAACCCCTATCCCAAAACCCTTAGGGTCGAACGGTGGTCCTATCTCCATGACATCACAGTCTGTGGTTGTCTTATACTTGTTGACGGTGGTGTCCCAGAAAAAGGCATAGTTCCCATCCGTTACCTTGCCATAGCCTTCAGTTGTATTGTCTACCATGGAATCAGGTTCTATCTCTGACATCTGTGCCCACATCTTGGAGAAATGCTCAATGTTTGTGTTGGCGAAGAAGGACATGACGCCACTGTTCTTGACCGTTCCATACTTAATCTTGGTCTGCTGGGCCAGGTCTGTGACAGATTTGATTGGGGTGTTGATCTTCTTGACCGTGAGGAAAGCTGCGAGGTTGGCAGTGTAGGAGGAGATTAATATGAGGGCGAAGAACCACCATGAGCTGGTTAGAATACGTCCTGGGATTGTGATCGGGCAGGCGTCAGTGTTGCCTTGCAGCAGGGACCCGAATATAAACCAGAAACTCTCCCTGACAGAGATCTGGGGGTTGGTTCTCTGTTTGGTGGAACCGATTCTCTCCAACATGTACAGGACGAAGCTGACGACTACGAAAGCTGCGAGGGTGCAGCCCCAGACGGTGAGTGACAAGGGGTTGAGGAATTCGAAGTAGGACACCTTTCTCTGGGGGATCTTTAGGATAACTGTTATGTACCGTGTCATGAACGGCTTGGTGAAGTCAACGGCCTCCTCACGACCTGAGTTGATGCTGAGGGGAGCCACTGACATCGTTGCTTCCTGGAAATATGGTCATATTCATATTTTACAAAGATTAATAATATGTGTTTAAATATATTCCTCTGTACCACGATTGGTAACACATTGTCCTGACATTAGCTTTTAATTTCGTGAGTTCAAATCCAAGTTTCATATTTGAAATTTAGATTTCTCATTATACACTAATTGAGGCCCAGAATGTTTTAGTGATGTGTCAAAATGGCGAGTAATCTTGTTTTCCTTACAATGACTTTGGACAGGGATTTTTTTATTTGTATTCGAAATCAAAGTGAGGGTAGAAGAGGAGGTACACGCACATATATAACTCTCTCATCTGGAGATAAAAAGACGTCATATTGCATGCTACGTTTATTACGAACCTCGGTAAATGTGAAACACATGAATTTATGAAATGTAATATATATCAGTTATTCTTGATAAAGAAATATTTATACTATTCAAAGTGCTATTATAGTCCAAGTAATCATCTAGATATGACATCACTGAAGATATACTTGGCAGCTAACCATTTCGACCTGACAAATAACAACCTACGCTCTTCCATTTAAGTATCTATGTCGTAAGGGAACCGAAAGTGACGTGGACTTACTCCATCAAGCAACTCTTTTATGATGCCATTCCACTCGCCATCTTTCTTGCTGCCGAAGTTCCCATCAGGAACCAGGTAGATCTCAAAGTTGAAACTCAGCGTCTCAGCCACGTGTGTCAGTAGATCGACGGCAAACCCCTCAAACCGGTCGTTACCGCGTCTCATGACCGCATCCCTCTTGTACATCGTGAAGGGCTGCTCCTGGAAGACAAGAAGAGGGAGATGGTTGTATAACTGGTACTTCATAACAAGGAGCCACCTCACGGAATCTTTGCTTTGACCTACAGTACTGTATGAAAACTCATGGAGATTCTTTGTTAGAATATAGGCCCCTAGCAGCATATGCTTGTCTAAAAGGCCACTGAGTTGATAGGTGGTTAGGTCCAAGGTCTTGGTTGATGTCAGCGTATCCCACTGACGTGGATTGGAAGTAATGGTTTCACAATCATTTACCGGATAGTCTGGTCAATACGCCCATATCTTGTCCTGGAATGTTGTTGAATGCGAAGTTAAACAAGAAACAAAACAGTCCGAGTGTGTGAAAAGTTTCCATCCATCCTTCATTCGATAATCTAATAACGGATCATTGAGGCTATACTATATTTTAACTCATTCACTTTTCACATTCACTGATAATGGAAAGTGGCTTGTTGCACTTGTTTGAGATTTTTTTTTTTAATTCTGAAATCTTCATATTGTGAACTTTCCCTTCAGGCCTAACAGTAATCCAGCACTTCCGGCATTCGGTGTCTCTATTGCACAAGTTTGGTAAGCACACAAATATGCAGTTCCTCTCTTGCTGAAAAGTGTCATTACGATCAAAGCGTTCGAGTCTTCAGTAAAGCCTTCAACCCGTTAGAACGTGAGTGAAAGACCTAATGGTGACATTACCATGTGTGACAAATAATTGATAGAATTTGGGTTCCCTATTTTGACTTGTACCCGTTGTTCACCTGTTTGTCCTTGTGAACATTTCCCTTGCATTTTGCATGTGTTTGTGACGTGTGGTACCAGTGGTTTCCTATGGTTATGGAAAGGGTCTGATTATATCTTACATGGTTAATGTAAAATGTCATACCGGGACAATGTTTGTGTGATCAGAGATATCATAAACTGTCAGATTGATAACCTCAAAATATTCTGGAAACAAAACAAGCTTGCTGCAACTGCATTAATGCTCCTGATTCCAAACACCCCTTTAACCTTGATATTCATCGAAGTTCGTTAAGAACGGGTCCTAAGTGTTATGTACTACCTGACCTACAGCCAGAAGTACGTCTCTCGGGACTGCGGGTTAGATAGAATAGACCACGAGCGTCCTTCTGTTTGTCACCTTTTTGAGCCCAGGGTTTGTCACACTTTGGTGGCCCGGCTCTGGTTTTTGACCTGTTGGGGCCTGGGTCAGAACAGACCCAAAGCTCCCTGGTACCTAAGACACAAGGGGCACACGAAATGCCCCCAAAAGTTTAGATTTGTGGTCGTAAAACAGATGAATATTGTTCTGGTGGTTAGGAACGACGACTTAATGATTGAGTACCAGCGAAAAGCCTGGGACGTTGGCCGTGCTGTCAGGAATGGCTAGTCCGGGCTACATTCGAGCGAATACAGGCCGAAAGATTGCTGGAACAACTGACAGAATACAACAAAGAAGAAGAAACGTAAATGACTCAATACGAAGGCTGCAGAGTGAATATTCAGGAAGTCATTTGTAAAATTGGTACAATTGGCATTGCGAAACGAAATATTCCGCCCTGCACAAAACGTCCATGACCATGACTCAATACAAGGGTTACAGAGTGAATTCAGGGTCTTTGTAAAAACTGTGAATCCAGCATTGCGAAACGAAATAATCTTTTGACAAAACAAATGGAAAAAAAATAAATATCCGTCGTGATAAAGTCCCGAGACTAATTGAGTTAACAAACATTGAAGGAGCCAGGCAGTGCCGCCACCAATATAATTGTGTTGTAAACGTGATATTTATCTGATTTATACAGAATATTGGTCGTTTCCCGTTACCAGACAGATTGCATCACAACCATTGCACAATCTGTTAGTGGAAGTGCCTCCATTTACGACTTACGATTGATTCTAATTACAATCAAAGAGTAATCTATATTTCATGTAATGGGCCTTCAGCGGACGCACTCTTTGTCCCAGATGTGTTCAGCTGTCAACTGTATTTGTTTTCTAAGCATTATCTTTCGTTATATTTGATTAAGTCATTTGTACAGATTTTTTTCACCGTGAAAGACCTCCCTGGTTTGTCAATATCAATTAAAGGTACTGAATATCAGACATAAAACATTTTCTACAAATGGCTTGTAGGATCATCAAACGATTTCTTTGTTTTCATAGAACATAACGCTTTGTCAATTGCGTATGCAAACAAATGATTTTAATACTGAAAGTCATGAAGCAAACTCGGCTGGAATTTTGATCTGTGCTATGAATTATTTCTGAGCCATTGTTTTACATATCATCGTTGGTCATCAAGGCTTGAACAACCGCAGGGGCGGTGGGGTAGCCTGGTGGCTAAGTCGTTTGCTCGTCACGCCGAAGACCCGGGTTCCATTCCCCACATGGGTACAATGTGTGAAACCCATTTCTGGTGTCCCCCGCCGTGATATGCTGGAATATTGCTAAAAGCGGTGTAAAACCAAACTCTCACTCATTGAACAACCGCACATAACAGAGTAGAAACGGTTTCATGTTGTGTTTTTTTGTTTTTTTTGGGGGGGGGGCTTCTTGTTTAACACCGCACTCAGTAATAATACAGAAGGGTGTAAACAGTCTAGTCTGGACCAGATGATCAAGTGATTGATGTCACGAGCGACAATTGGGGTACACTGAAACACAATCAGCCTGGACACGGTTGGTTGGTTGTTTAACGCCACACTAACCAATATTCCAGCTATATGGAGGCAATCTGTAAATAATCGAGTCTGAACCAGACAACCCAGTGATCAACAGCATGATCATCGATGTACGAAACTGGGATACGATGACATATGTCAACCAAGACCACCCGATCCCGTTAGTTGCCTCCTACGAAGACCAATTCTAACCCGGATGTTCACGGGTCGCCTGGTCAGAGTCGGACTAACCCATCTATATCGTTGCCCCTTACCATAGGTCGGATCTGTACCATCCTGGAGTGAGTCAGTGAGTGAGCGAGTTTAGTTTTACGCCGCTTTTAGCAATATTCCAGCAATATCACGGAGGGGGACATCAGAACTGGCAGTTCATTGTAAACATTAACGATGCTTTTCCGTATAAAGGTCCAGAAACTATTGTCTGGCTTGTTCAAAATCAATAATATATATTTTGAATAGGAATTTTCCCCACTGGAGTAAAACAGGACTAGTTTCCGGACTGACCAAGGATAACATATTCAGAGAACCAGAGTCAGGAGCGTGAGGGAGTGCATTAAATACACTGGCAGTGGACCCTCTAATGATCACACGTGATTTCAATATGTAGCTTAATTGGCATTTTATATATATTTTGAATATGTTGTGCGGAAAAGTTGTAATTATCCATTTTAACCAAAATTGCGTAAATTGAGAAAAAGATAATTGATTAAAAAGCTTTCTTCTTGGCGAGGAAAGCACCATAAACTTGACACTGTCTTCAATGAGGAGTACTACAAAGTAATGTAAACAAAACAGTCTCTGCCGTTGTACATAGCCTGAATCCGAACTGAAAGGGATTGGAGAAGCCTTGATCTTAAGTTCTACATTCAACAATATCTTCCGAACAGTTCATTAAAGACGAGAGTTAGAAGGTCATCTCTACATTTACATTGCCCTTTGGGTATAGGTCAGTATTTCCCAACATGTTTGATATTACCTTGTGTACTCCTGAGAAACAATTCCGTTATAGAATGTAACCAGAGTACTTATGTTCATCACTTGAGTACCGAACTTTATGATGAATGATGATGATGAATTGCACCATCGGGACTGACTCATTCAATGTGCACCGTGGGACTGATGTCACGCCCTATATTGTATGAATCATTTTCAGTCTGTTTCATGTGAATATTGCCAGCACTGATATCACGATCTGACTTTGACCGATCTATAAACTGTAAGGAAATACTGGTAGACCACGGCGACATGCGTATTACAGGAACCTTTGTTTAAAGCCTTTGTTCACTATGTCACTGAATTACGATTTATGTTTAACATGAATATTCTATTGTAGGTAACATTCCTTGTGAACTTATATCCTAGTGTTAATCATAATTACTAAATGAAGTGTAACATGAGAACATAATTGGTTAATCAAATCACATATCACACTTACATATCCTTTATTAATTCCATTACTGTGTAGGTCATCGCTGTTGTATTGTCATATTACACGCTAATTATCATTAACGCCGTTTAACTGTAATTGAGTCTGGGTCTTGGTGCGTGTCACGAGTCAAAACCTCAATTAATTAATTCTCCTTGTTAACATACAACGTAAAACACAACTTTGCAGATTCTGATACCTTTCGGTATGGACTTATAGATACAAATCATCAAAAATGCAAATTCAACTTATAAAGTTGAAAATAACGCGATGAAAAAAACCCCGCGAAATCGGAGTTCAAACGATTCACTAAATTCACCCCAGCTTGGGGTGAAAAGTGGTTTCAACAGCTGCGCTGCGCTGGGCTGCGCTCATAGCGCATGCGCAGTAAATAGGTTCGCTTGGAAGCGGGATGTCCGGTAATAAGGTCGTGAGCAGGGGTAGTCTAATCAAAACAAATAGTAAATAATCTACTCGTTTCATAAAAGAACCTTGTTGGGATCTAGATCTACTCAGCTATGGGGCAACCAGTGAGGCGTTCGACATTACAAGACGGAAAACCTTCGCTGGCGGTGAGTACTCGGTGAAGGCTTTGAGGTGAGCTATTTTTCTAATGTTTTGTTGATATTTCACAGGCGCGAGCTTTTTATATGTTATGACAGTAGATTACCGATTTAACTGTTTATATAATTTCATTTGTCTATTTCACCACACGTTCTTCTTACCGAGTCACTTTCTCAGTTCGATACTTAAAAGCAATGTCGTTATTTGGCATTGACAGACTTTCTAACTGTTATATAGCTCTGTCTTTGTCACAGACAAAACCCTATGTCTGTTTTATTGGCACGTATGTGTCTGCCTGCCTGTCTGCTAATGACAACATGCAATATACAACTTCGATCACTGACCACATGCAATTTGAACTTAACACCTATCAGGCTATACACCACAAAACGCATTGATTTATGGCCAGAGTTCGGTCTCTGTCACATTATGTAATTAAACAGACAGGCAGGTGTGATACTTGTACATATGACATGTTATGATGTCTGTTGATTGCAAAATGTTATACTGACTGACTGACTGAGTTTGGTTTTACGCCGCTTTTAGCAATATTCCAGTAACATCACGGCGGGGGGACACCAGAAATGGAAAATGTTATACACTTGAGTACACACCCACCCGCTCTGACTGGGTTCGGATCTCGGGTGCTTCTTTTCGAGGGAAGTAGACCCAAGTACAAAACATTGCACTTTTGATTTGCGTAACGCTTATAATTTTGTGTATATGTTTTTTCATAACCAGCAATGTATATGATATGTCATGAATTAGTGATAATTGTGTTTTAATTATGTTTGACGTTTTGGTTGCATGTGACCTTTAAGACTGAAGTTCGCATGTGTCCACCATAGTGTTGCTGTATCAGGGAGTCTATATAAGGCTGGCGTTTCAAGGAGTCTACAGAAGGAAGGTCGTATTAGGAAGTCTGTATGGCGTTGGTCGTGACGTTTCCTATGACCGTTTTTTTGTTACCACCATTACTTACAAGAATCATGACGACCTTGACCGTGCGACCTTTTAGGGGGAAAATACGTCGTCGCTTTGGGGGAGCTTGAGACGTGTTGAGGAGAAGGTAACTGTGAGACGGACGCTTCAGCCACTCTCCGTGCTGGAATCAAAGTAACGGTTCATTTAACTATCTTCATGAAACAAGATAGGTTAAAAGACATACATTACACCAAACAATTACAATTAAAGTGCATCATTATCTAATGTCAAAAGGCACTTTACCTCACCATTTTAATGTATTATGCACAGCTTCACAGAAGTCCCAATCTTGCTGTATGTAGTATATATATATATATATATATATATATATGTGTTTTTATTGTATACTCTGCCAAAAAAGAACACGAAACCGCAGACAGGTGACTCGGCTTCTGCCGTAGCCACGTTTTCCCATGTATCGCAAAGGACCATTACATGACTATGGAACCGCTGCATGGGTCAACACGTGACCTACCCAGTTCCGGTCGACCTCGTGTCACAACTGCATGTTTGTTTTAGTGACGAGTCACGCTTTCCTTCCGTACAGACGGACGACGTCGTGGGGGGACGTTATGCTCAAAACAGCATACATGAAGTGGACGGGTTTGGTACACGTCCAGGTCAATATAACGGCACAGCGTTACACAGGTGGAAATATTTGGCCACGCGTCCTTCTAATTATGCAAAACAAACGTAATTTTTCAACACGACGTTAGACCTAACACGGCAAGATTGTCAACGACCGTCTTAAGGAACCACAACAACCAAGAACTGCGTTAGCCCTAAAGGTCTCCAGAAATACACTTCATCAAACATGTGGTAGATGCTCTTGATCAACGCCTGCAATGACGTCAGCCAGATGACCTCCATCAGTTGGCACATGCACTGTAGGAAGAGTGGGTGGACTTCCCAAGGCCACAATTTGTAATCTGATTGGTTCCATGGGGTGACGATGCCAGGCATTTCTGATGTCTCCGCACAAAATATTGAGAACAGGTTTACCTTGACATTCGATAATTTCACGTGTGCCATGATGAACCTCGGCCAGTGACAATGACTTGTGCCAAGTTTGAGCAATTTATTTCGATCTGCTATTTACATGATACACAAACTATACATCTGAAAATCACGTTTGCGTTTCTTTTTTTGTAGAGTATACATTATTTGATTTTCTATGGAAATAACAGATATAATGAAGTTCCAAAATCTTAAATGTTACTAGAAGCTGTCACAAAGTCATCGTTATAGCTCAGGGTGTTTTTGAAAAGAGAGACGGATGTACGAATGTAACGGATGTAACCTTCTAGCGGCTATTTTGGCATGTGGGCTTAGACAAGGGTACAAAAACAAAAATGCATGTCCTTTAATGTAAACAAAAGAGTGGAAAAATCCTTTCTGGTCAGACAAAACCGGCCATATAAGTCCACTGAGGAGAAACTTCCATTGCAGTATCCTTCCTTTGAACTATGCCATTCATCGTAGGGCTCTGGATTACACCTAGTTCTACACGGCCATTGAAAGCGTTCCAAACAGACTGAACCCCTTGCGTATTTTAGCCATGTCAGTATTCGCTGATCCTCCTTTAACATAATGGTTGGCCAAAGTATAATCCTGAGTCTGTAAGGACCATTCATTGCCTGCCCGAAACGATGAACGTCTGTACGCCGAGTGTAAGTTTGGGCTGTATTCTCCTGTAAATACTGACGCGACGTGTTATACCTTACATACCTCTCATGCGGCGGTACACACAACTCCATCCCTCACTCACCCATTCATACACCTGCTGTAATCAATACTAAAGATTGTAGCAGGAGTAAGTCGAAATCAGTTGTAAGGGGTTTCTTGAACAACGTATTAGATCTTTTGATGTACGGTAAAAGCTCCAAACCCCACGTTATCTGGAGGCTACTGCAGAGTATGCCCAGTTCTAGTCCGGGAATTCCCTAAAACCATGAGTTCCATTGGTGGTTGTTCAGAGCTACGTTGTTCGTTATGAGAATATAGTGTGGCGAAAATGCGACATTTGTATATTCCACAGACACCTATAAATTACATTCCATGTTTTGTTGCGTGTATAACATTTTTCTCAAAGTTTAATTCGGTGCTCCTGCCTACGTGCATATGCCTTGCCGTTCCTATCGATAACATCCACCCCCAGGTCAAATTATCAAAATTGGTTATCACAGTAGATAGAGACGCAATGATATAAGTGGACTCATCAGCGAGATCAGGCTCCGTCACGATCAATGTTCGTACTGATGAGAATTTCCATCGTCAACGCTTTGATAAAAACGTTGTGAGATTTCCCACATTACATAAAGGCGGACCTGGGAGTGTGTTCGTGAAACGTGCCAGCAGTTTCTCTGCAGGTGGAGGAGCGATGATAGAGAGAGGCAATAAGCTGTGATGAAAGAACAAAAACAGAAAGAAACATTGAAATAGCCTCATGGTGTCCGAAATAAGATAAGTTCATATGATGAATAATTGGTGTGGCTATTTGTACCTGGAATCAACGTCAATGAGGCACTTATCCCGAACACTGCTTTCGACAGTGATACCACTGACATGCAACACGATGTGGGTTGGGGTGGTAAGTGTGGGATGGGATGGGATGGGATGGGATGGGGATGGGGTGGTGGTAGGTGTGGGATGGGATGGGATGGGGCTGGGTGGGGTGGTAGGTGTGGGATGGGATGGAGCTGGGTGGGGTGGTAGGTGTGGGATAGGATGGGTCTGGGTGGGGTGGTAGGTGTGTGATGCGTCTGGGTGGGGTGGTAGGTGTGTGATGGGGGTGGTAGGTGTGGGATTGGGGTGGTGGATGTGGGATGGGATGGGGCTGGGTGGTTTAGTAGGTGTGGAATGGATCTCGGGTTGGATGCGTGTTCGGGGGTGATGGCTGGGTGGTCGGGAGTGAGGTTTGTAGGTGGTGGGGTAGGGTGTGCTAAAATGAATACACGGCTTGATGGGAGATGGTGGACATTCGACTCAAGTATCAGAAATACTCATGTAATATTGTACCTTATCTCACAAACCTGCAATACACAGAAGACATTACAACCACAGAGGGGTGAAACAGGGTTTCAATTCCTTTTCAAGATTAGACACCTATATCACAGTAACGTGTATGCTTGTGTGTGAAGAGCACAAATGTCAGTTATATAGTGCAAGCCCACTGAGATATCATCCCTCAGGTTTACTTAAATTCCCCTGTCTGGGTCCACCAGTCCTTGTTTTATGCCCAGAAATGACCACCAGGACTTTGACCAGGCAGGTTAACATCAAATACCATTACTGATGTCTCCGGACAAAATATTGAGAACAGGTTTACCTTGACATTCGATAATTTCATGTGTGCCATGATGAACCTCGGCCAGTGACAATGACTTGTGCCAAGTTTGAGCAATATATTTCGATCTGCTATTTACATGATACACAAACTATACATCTGAAAATCACGTTTGCGTATCTTTTTTTGTAGAGTATACATTATTTGATTTTCCATTGAAATAACAGATATAAATGAAGTTCCAAAATCTTAAATGTTACTACAAGATGCACAAAGTCATCGTTATAGCTCAGGGTGTTTTTGAAAAGAGAGACGGATGTACGAATGTAACGGAAGTAACCCTCTAGCGGCTATTTTGGCATGTGGGCTTAGAAAAGGGTACAAAAACAAAAATGCATGTCCTTTAATGTAAACAAAAGAGTGGAAAATCCTTTCTGGTCGTACAAAACCGGCCATAAACGTCATCCGGTAAGATGTGATCAGAGGATCGGACCACCGATCTTCTTTCCACTATACAAAGACGGCCACCCCATAACAATGCCTACCCCTGTCGTCAACGGTTGCGTAATTCAATGTGTTACCTCTCTTAAGGATGGTATAAACTTGTTGAGAGGTTTGTCAACCCTACAGTCGTGCCTGTGTGCTTCTCAGTGTCTTAGGCCTGCCTCGTTTCGGGCCATTCACCCATCTGAAGCTGAGCTGATATAACTGGAATACTGGTAAAACGGCGTCAAACCTAACGCGCTCAATCACAAAGGAATATCAACCTATTTGTAAATCAACATCTTCAGACCTCCAACACACCCGTACATAACGGTATCATGTACAACCACTAACATCGCAGGATAGGCATTTTTAGACAGCTAAACATTACAGATACCAACTTAAGCGTCTTTGATACATGTTTATGTAAATAAGCAGGTCAAGTATTAAGCAAGGATTGAACAAAGTGTTACCCAATACAATGGAGTATTTACGAAAAAGCGTTTCATGGAGTCTATAGCTAACACCGAGAAATAACGATCCAATATGTCTGAGGCTCCTCTACACACAATACAACGTCAATCGTTTCTAAAGCGTACACATACATTGTTTACTTGAATGAAAGAATTGATTGCCAATGAAAGCCATTACATTGCCTGAAGCACATTGAACAACATCTAACGGAAATGATATTGAAGCACAAAGACGTCTACAAAACCGATGGTTTTATTGAATACTTGTACGATATAGGAAGGTTATTTAAACGGTTATTTACCAAAAGTAAAAACAACAACTTTCTTTTATCATTGAAAATCGTTTGACTATCTATGAGGTCCTTCATAGAACTCCTGGAAGTAACGGTTAGGTGATTCTAATTTACAAGATCGGATATACTGATAGCCTGACAAACAACATCATTGTTAACGAACAATATCATGTGCAAATATAGGGAACAAACAAAGATGAGAGCAATATATATTTTACAGCAGGACTCTCTTGTTTGAAGTTGTTACTTGTATTGGAATGGATATTTTTATAGATCACCTGTTTGTCGGTATTTAGCAATTACAACTACAGGTGAAGGGACGCCTTTTGGCTTCAGTGCGTCATTCAGCAATCAGCCACACTACACATCGACCTTCACATTGAACTGGAGAAAGTATTACTTTTGAACTAGGAATAGAAGATACTATCAAAGTGATCGATAACGACAAACTGCATAAAGCTTAAAAAATAATGAGCGAGATAGGTAACACAGACGGTCATAGTTGCATAACGCCATTATCCGACACCTTGACCTTAAAGATCACAATGCGAATATAGGAATGCCCATGGCCTATGGCTGTGTTAATGTGGAACGCTTTCTCCCGCGCTCCAGTCACATACGTTTGATGCGATGCCTATGATATGACTCAACCCCTCGTTAATTATCATTATGACTTTAGCAAACCTTCAGCAGGCCCCACGACTTTTTTAGAATCATTTCGATGTCACGGATGATTTAAGAGAAAACTGGTGAAAGCATACACAAGCATACAACATTAAACGTTTCGTTGAAATATGTACGACTTCGGAAAATATATTTACACATGTGTAGAATATCACTGTCAAATTATAATTTATGACTTGTTCACATGTTGATAAGAATAATGTGTTTACAAAAGAAGTGACTTTCATATATTTTATCAATCATGACTCTTAAAAGATAAGATCGGTGGGACAGCCGCTGATCATGCCGAAATGCCAGGTTAGATTCTCCATATTGAAACAATGTGTGTCCACATTTTCCCAATGATATTGCAGGTATATTGCAAAAACGGAATAAAACCACACTCACTCACACATGCGAAACAGTACAGATCCCTGCTGTAACGCGTTATACCCGATGACGATGTCACTTGTAAATTACCTCTCATTAATCAGAGAGGTCGTGATATAACGGAAACTGTTCAATGCCGTGTTAAACTAAACTTCTTGACTGACCGATATTATTAATTATGAAACACGATAACTCTAGTGATTTTCATTACCCCGCCCGAAGCTGTACAAAGACGTCCAATGTACCGTATGACTAAGATCAGCTATACTGTACCTGAACCAAGTACACCCAAACATCCAGTACATCTAGAGGTTACCCATTACAGCGTACAGGCCCTTGAGTACAGTGAACATACTCGATATACGAGCAACATGGTGCATCTGAATCACTCCTTCCTTCGTGGATATGAAGGGTGATAAAACATATATTGCCCATGACACGGAGTCAGACATGACTTTTAAAAAATAATTCCCTGAATCTGTAGAGGATAAATATTCCTCGACTACTCACTTACAATGCCACAATATCAACGTGAGATGGTACAGTCATTTCAGTGAGAGGACCCTTAGCAAACATGACAGTTTTTAATAATATAACGAAAATAAGATCGGTATACATAAATTAATGCTAATACGAACGGGACGACATTGCAGGAGAAACCATCGTGATGACGACCAGCAGCGTAGCGACACAGGGTCAAGGGAGAAAACTCTTAACTGACTCACCGGATAGCTGTAAATACCACTCACCGGGTAACTCTCGTTGCCCGTGTAGCCAGTTAGATAGACGGAAAAGTTAGACCTTTTGCCGTGAGTGTCTAACTGAAGGTTACCAGTCAAACCAAACTCTTGGTTCTGAAAAAAACAACAGAAAGAGTTTTTAAACTAAAACCAGTGTATGATGGTGAGCGAACTGATCAGCTTTATTTGGTACAGTTACATAGTAAACCGCCGACGATTTCGACAGGAGTTAGTCTTACCGGATTGTCATTCATTCCAATTTCTTTTTTGCATGAGCGACTTGCATTTTCATCCCTTTTGCAAAATCGACAACACCACCTGCAGATTGCTTATAACTATTTATGCGTTATAATAATGTTATTGTGTGAGTGAGTGAGGTGGGATAACTTCCCGTTTGGGTAGTGCTTCAGTTATCAGTCGTGTTTAATGTGGGAGGACAACCCGAAGTATTGCAGGTCTCACACTTTTACAACTTTGGCAAAACCCACGGTGCTACCAAATCTAGAAACATGAATAGGGACACGATCCCTGGTTTCTGGCCCCGCAATGGGCGGTGGGGTAGCCTAGTGGTTAAAGCGTTCGCTCGTCACCCCGAAGATCCGGGTTCGATTCCCCACATGGGTACAATGTGTGAAGCCCATGCCATGTCGTGATAGGGGCGGCGGGGTAGATTTGTGGTTAAGGCGTTCGTTCTACACGCCGAAGACCCGGGTTCGATTCCCCCACATTGGCACATCCATATATATTCAGTAGCCCATTTCTGGTGTCTGATATTGCTGGAATATTGCTAAAAGCGGCGTCAAACCAAACTCACTCTCTCACTCACTCTGACTCGCCAATGGGAGACTGAATGAACAATATTGTATGAGGGGTAGGGTTACTGCCCTTCCTAGTATACTTCAGTTAAGTAAAGAAAACCTGTTTTGTGATATGACCATAGTCTGTCATAGTCATGACCTATTATAGTTATGTGGAAACTTCAACTTCATGAAAGTGATTTATCATGGTATAACAGACTACGACTGTAAGAGAGCATTCAATTAGCTAAAGTTTTACTGCAATAGGGTGAAGCCTGAGAACAGTGCACGGTGCTGACAAGTAACGAATACACGATGAATCTGAGATTCAAATCTCGAGCAGCGGATCCTGGCACAGATAACCTTATATACTACCTACCGCCATAATAGCAATAACCTTCATAATACTGCAGGTTCCCGATCCACAAAGCGTTCTAGAGCTACCAAATTCGTAAGTCTATGATAAATGTTTGAGCTACGACATGTCGTAACGTTACGAAGTCTTTTAGGATAGTGTCTCAGACTGATATTTATAATAAGATCAGAGAGAAACTCACGACACTGTACCAAGCATATAACGCGGTGCTTAGAACATAACTGCGTTTTATTGATCAAATGGTTTTGATGTTTGTTATTTCCACGTATATTTAGACACATTTTCACCTTCTCTAGGGAATATTTTAGGATGGCACAACGGGTATTTTTGCTTGCTATAAAGATAAGACATGTAAAAAGATAATTTCCTTTACTTAGCTACCGGGGAAAACACTTATACACTTGGAACCAGTCGCTGGAGTTCTTTGAGGGGCCATGTGAGTGAGTGAGTAAGTGAGTATGGTTTTACGCCGCTTTTAGCAATATTCCAGCAATATCACGGCGGGGGACACCAGAAATGGGTTTCACATATTGTACCCATGTGGGGAATCGAACCCGGGTCTTTAGCGTAACGAGCCAACACTTTAACCACTAGGCTACCCCACCGCCCCGGGCCATGTGAGGATCATCTGTTAGATACTCATTCATATGATGCATGTAATGCTGCCAACAATATACCGTGTCACATACATAACCATCAACTAACAATTAAATGTTTGTTCCTTGTTTGAACACCATAAGACTTGAGTGGACACTTGTTTTGTCCGGCAGTGTATTAGCACTCTGTGAGACGCTCTGACAGTGTACAATTAGTCCGGTAGCATAATCTAAGTTGAACGACAGATTGTTTATGAGACCTGAGAGAGACTGATAACCTTAATGAACTGGCAATTTGTATAGGGTAATATATTCCCATGTCATTTATTTCCCATGTTTCATGCTGTATAACACGTAGGAACATTTTGTTTCACTATTATATGTCACAAGCGCTGATGTCGATACAGCTTGGCTGTCAGTCCACGATTGATGGATCCAGACAACGTGAAAGGCACTTCTTAAACTGTATGCATATTTCAAAGATTTAATATTTTCAAATCATATTAATTTCTTTTAGTTTTAAATTTTAAATCATATAAATTTCAATATTTCGTGAGGCTCGTTATGTTCAGGACTTCACGCCATATATTTCGGATCATACTTTCGGTTTTCATACTGGTTGATCAATTCTGTCTCTTTTGGATATGTATAAGTGGTTGTATGACAGCATCATATTTATCTATACACTGGAAGGTTTAACTGAAACAAGGACGCGATGTTTGTCGTACCGACAAAACGTGTATCTCTTGAACTGATAATTGTTCAGGAAGTATGTACATAATAACAATAATCCGGTAAACTACATATTATATTCCTACTGATTATTCCATTTTCAGATGAACAATTGACTTGCCTTTGCGGGTGTTTGTGACGGATGCAGCCGACTGAACAGGATACTCTTTTCGCGAATACCTGCCATCATTACTGTTTCGCAGTGATTCATAAATACATATGTACACGAAATATTACAATTGAAGTACGTATTTCTTACGTAAAGGTTTCGTTGCCAATATTTAAACGTTTTGAACTCTGAGATTGCGCATGTACATTGGACAGCATGTAACCTTGATCTGCGTATGGTCGAAGCCGGCTTGTGAAATATAACATTAACACGGGCCTACGCGAACGGACGGATGGCCGTGTGACTTACACTCTTGATGGTGTTCAGGAGATTGTCATTTGTCTGCATGCTGGACGCTATCAGAAGCTGCATGGCGTCGTGGGCGAGGGCGTACTCAAGCTTCCTCTGGTGGATGTGGCTGTTGTTGTTGAGGTTGGTCATGTCGCTGACGGAGGAGTTATAAGGCAACAAGGAGAACACAGTGAAGTTGACGGCGATGTCTCGGTAAGGCTCGAACAGATCGCCTATAGCGTCGCCCTAAAGGTAACAACAAGTGTAGATATAAACTCATTGCTCTTAGACTGGTTCAGTCGCCATAGTGTTACAATAGAATATTATTAATCTAAAAAATAATGGTACAAACAAACTGCAATGGCAGACATGTCGAGGTGTTTTCAAAACATATTTTTGGAAAACATCAATAACGAAAAAAAATAAAATTCTTAAAACTATTTTTGGAACACAGGCTGATTCCATATACTTCAGACTGCCAATTCACCAGGTTGATTGGAAAAAAGACGTTACCGTTTTGTTGAAACCCACGAACACAGGTAATGCGCTGACAGACTAAGACACATAATCAGGACCTAACGGGATTCGAACCCATCAGCTTTGCTTTCTGATGTGCCTATTGGACTCTGCAAGTTGCATCCCCGGGGACTAGTGGCTACCCGTGATACAGTCTGAGTGAGACAAGTGGGTGGAATCGGATTGGACTCAACCCAACAAAGGTCTAGAATCTGAACTTTACTGAGGAAGTGTAATCCCTAATAGAACATGTGCTATATAAGTGTGATTACACAAAACATTGGTCAGACTCAGAAAGGGACACTGGCGCCTTAGCTCTAAAGAACAGCAATTGACTGTGCAGAGTTGCATCCCTTTGGTGTACACAATACTGGGTTCTAATCTCTCATTTTTCCTGACAATATTTGTATGTTTGTCAGCGCCATGTTTCAACGAAATGGTAAACATCTATACCACACGTCACTTCCGGCATTGCCACATCTATATGACACGCCGTGATATTAGAAAAATACTGTTTTAAAAATGACGATAAACCCAACTCACTCGCTCACGCAATTTTACGTACCGGATCGTAGAAGCCCCATTCGTACGGAGGCGTTGATAACATGGCGAGGTTGCGAGCCTGGGAAAGAAGCATGTCGTAGATTAGCAAACATTATCACAGCGGAACAGGTCATACAAATTAGGGACGGGTCAAAGTGCGTGGAATTAGGGTAATAATTATGTCGCTTAAAGACACCTCATTATCATATTAAGCTAATAAACGCACATACGCAACGTCGTATTCAGTCGTTAGGTATTTAAAGTTTGTGTTAAATGATATGCTCACGCACTCATGACTCAATGTAATTTGCAACTACGAATATTTTTTTAAAGTAGAAATACTAATTACCACGCTCTTTGGGTAATTCGTTAAAGAAATGAACAAATAAATACTTTTTTTGGTAAAGATTTTAGGGTCACTAAACTGGGACTACAAGACAGAGGACCAATGTGCAACAATTGTCTCTACGATTTGTTGCATTGAATACTTTGTCAGTTAAAGCTCCCTTTATTATTTGTCTATCAACTCATTTTCCGGACGTTACTGCAGTGAACGAGGAAGATGGAGTACTTTAGGCAGGGGTACCGTAGTTCATTAGGTACTGAACAACGCCTGATTCAAACAGTCTCGAGTTTCAGCTGATCATATATTTGCATGATTCACAACTAACGATAAAACTCTACATAATCAATTGCAGTTATACGATACTTTCGCAATTCTAGATTTCTTCTGTTCTCTCACATATTGAAAAAACAAGTAACCAAACCGTATTTTCCGAGTGGAGATCTGTATTAGAATTGGTCTTCAGCAAAAGAAAATTCGTGGCTGACACTTCGTAGACATCGATATCTTAGTGTGACAATTTCTTGATTATCGTCAATCATTACCATAAGCTTAATGTCAAATTGTCACTTACCACAACTTTCACGCCAAAAAGTTACTAAAAAACTTAATGCCAAATAGTAACTATATTATTAATCTTTCCGTCAAAAAGTTTCCACAACCTTACCATAACTGTCCTGTCAAAAAGTTGCTATAAATTGCCCGTCAAATAGTTACTATAACCTTCACCTCAAATGGTTACTGTAAACTTTCCGTCAAAGAGTTACTACAACCTTACCATAACCTTCACGTCAAATAGTTGCCATAAATTTCCCGTCAAATAGTTACTATAACCTTCCTGTCAAATAGTTACTATAACCTTCACGTCAAATGGTGAATGTAAACTTTCCGTCAAAGAGTTACTACAACCTTACCATAACCTTCACGTCAAATAGTTGCCATAAATTTCCCGTCAAATAGTTACTATAACCTTCCCGTCAAATGGTTACTGTAACCTTCCGTCAAAAGTTACTTCAAACCATAATCTTACGTCAAACCTTCCCGTCAAATAGTTACTATAACCTTCCTGTCAAATGGTTACTGTAAACTTTCCCGTCAAAAGTTACTACAACCTTACCATAACCTTCTTTCACGTCAAATAGTTGCCATAAATTTCCCGTCAAATAGTTACTATAACCTTCCTGTCAAATGGTTACTGTAAACTTTCCGTCAAAAAGTTACTACAACCTTACCATAACCTTCACGTCAAATAGTTGCCATAAATTTCCCGTCAAATAGTTACTATAACCTTCCTGTCAAATGGTTACTGTAAACTTTCCGTCAAATGGTTACTACAACCTTACCATAACCTTCACGTCAAATAGTTGCCATAAATTTCCCGTCAAATAGTTACTATAACCTCCCTGTCAAATGGTTACTGTAAACTTTCCGTCAAATGGTTACTACAACCTTACCATAACCTTCACGTCAAATAGTTGCCATAAATTTCCCGTCAAATAGTTACTATAACCTTCCTGTCAAATGGTTACTGTAAACTTTCCGTCAAATGGTTACTACAACCTTACCATAACCTTCACGTCAAATAGTTGCCATAAATTTCCCGTCAAATAGTTACTATAACCTTCACGTCAAATGGTTACTGTAAACATTCCGTCAAATGGTTAATACAACCTAAACCTTACCAAATAGTTGCCATAAATTTTCCGTCAAATAGTTTCTATAACCTTCCCGTCAAATAGTTACTATAACCTCCCTGTCAAATGGTTACTGTAAACATTCCGTCAATAAGTTACTACAACCTTACCATAACCTTCACGTCAAATAGTTGCCATAATTTTTCCGTCAAATAGTAACTATAACCTTTCTGTCAAATAGTTACTATAACCTTCCTGTCAAATGGTTACTGTAAACATTCCGTCGAAAAGTTAATACAACCTTAGCATAACCTTCACGTCAAATAGTTGCCATAAATTTCCCGTCAAATAGTTACTATAACCTTTCTGTTAAATAGTTACTATAACCTCCCTGTCAAATGGTTACTATAACCTTTCTGGCTTATTTAGAGGCCCAGTGTGCAGGATTGTGGCCACAATCAGTTCTGACAGACGGGGCCAGACAGAGATGCCACCTTTAACCCATAGAGTGAGTGAAATACTATATTACAGTGAAGATTCATGGCTATATTTATGTGGGGAAGGTAACTTCTATTGTTTATTCTACTTTTTTATGAATGCAATGATTTCCGATGCAGTTCCCTATTTTTACTTGTATCACAGGTTCGTATGTTATTCCAGGTGAACACTTGATGTGGCTTTACATGTGTTTGTGACTGGAGTCACCGGGGAGCAGGAAACGCTCCCCTTAGCACGTAGTCCTGCTGCCATTACTAACTGATAATGCTTCATGAATACATGCTTATGATATATTCGGGATCGTATGGCGGACTCTTATTTCGTTTGATTATGGAACTGGTTTTGTCGTGAGGTTTTTGTCATTGAGTTGACACTAACACTCATTGCGTTGCGTATATGTTGTCTAGTGGTGAATGATTGTCGATAGTAATGGAGATATTGGTGCAATCATCAAGAAACAACTCCAACAGACTTTAACCTGAATAACATTCTTTGATAAATACACTATGTTGTTGGAAGGTCGTTTTTCAGTTTAACGGTAAACATGTACAGTGACACCCCGTTGATTAGGACGGTACAACTCCCCGTGGATTTAAAAAATGTCTGGATTAATGAATTCTTAGATGTAACCTGTATATACACATTTCTAAACTGAATCTTGAGGATTACAGACTTCCCGACGTCTGGGTTAACGGGGTTGCAATATACGAGCTGTATTGCCATACACATGTCGATATACTGGAAGCGATATAACCTGTATATCCACCTGTATATCCACATTCCATCTTCAATCTTACAAACGGGTCTGGATAAACGAGACTCCAGTGTATATCAGCTGTATTGCCACGTGCATGTCAAGATACTGAAAGTGAAATTTATCGCGTTTGTCAAATGTTTTAAAAAATACGCCATTGATAAGGCAGTGAAATATTCCAGAGAATCGTTCTATCAGAAGAAACGGGCAATGGCTGATTGATCCTCTTGCGTGCTGAAGATACCGGGGATATCTGAGTTAAAGTAGATCAGCATCCGCAACCATATCTTCCCGATAAACTACAGCCACAGTGGATGGTTTTAATCTTTTGAATCACTTGTTTTGATAAAAACGATTTGAGTAGCATCAACATAGATTCCTCCCAGCAATAAATCACAGGATCTGGTTAGCGTTCACAATCATTAAATTTTTTTAAAAACATGGAATAGGTGAATCCCGAAACCAAGGAAGGTCTTTGATAACGAGAGGAAATGAATGGACTTGGTTTACGGACAACGTTAACCATTCCTTGTGATTATCAGTAGTATTTGATCTGGGACCATTTAATAAAGGCTTACCGTCTTCACGTCTAGGGATTTATTAATCATAAAAGTAATCCTTTCTGTGTGAGAGGGAAACTCTATAATCACCCTCCGTAAACTGTCTTGTATTTGTGTTAGGAGGTGACTGGTTGATAGTATTTTAGTACTCGCCCTGCTCAACACTCGTATTATATCTGGTTCACTGTTTCTTGTGACACAGATATTTCTGCCTGCATTTAAGACTTCAGAATGTACACTACTGTTCAAAAGAAAACTCCCATCGGTTTCTCACCATGATATCGTTATCGCGGTGTTAAAGACCTTTCAGACAACTCGAGTGTCGAGATAAGGGTGTATAAAGGAGTTGTACGTGCTTAATGATAACAAACAAAGACATAAGAAGTTAATGCAAAGATACAAAAGGTTGTTTCATTTACCACAGAAAGTGGGTTAGCTCTTCAAGTATATATCATTACGTGCTTATCTTTACTCATGGGTGTAACCCAATATCTTTGGCTCTAGCGAGCGAATATTGTTGAAAGCCGCACAATATTCAAGTTAAATCATGGCCTCCTGTGAAAGGTTTACAAGAGAAACATTTGGCCGCCATTGCGGTACGATAGTACACTATGCCAGGGAACGTGGCCACCTGATTCATGTTATCACTTCTTAAAACGTGGATCATGTACGTACGTGGAACAAACTACGTCCCCGACATGTAGAGGAGGTGCTGAAGCCATAGCAAGAGTAAGTGTGTGTACTGATAAACAGTTCTGAAGACCTACCTCTCTGAGCAGGAACTCCGTGTAGAGTTTACCGCATATCACTATGGAGTGTTCCACCAGAACTTTACGCATCTGCACAAGCGCCTCTCTTGCTTTCGACCCCATGATCCGGTGCGTGTCACGTGTTTTCGACCCTGGGTCGGGGAGTCTCCAGGCCTTGACAGATAGAGAATGGTTTGTCATCAGTCGTTCCAGCACCGCCAAACCTGTATTTGGAATTCAATAGAAACAGATATATTTAGTAATGGCGGGAATACATGGTCATGCTGCTGTATGAACATACGACATCAACCATAAGGCCCAGTGGGATGGCCCAGTGGTTAAAGCGGTCGCACAACAACATGAAACAACATTCGGGCACATTCTTGTGTCCCTTACATGTATCTGGACCATTGCTAATAATGCGATGTAAAAGTCTAACTCACTCATTGAATCAATGCTATGTTTTCCATTATAACATCATCATCATTCACCTTTATCATCATCATAGAAGACGCTAATCTTTTTCCAGTTCTGTTTTTGTGCAAATTCCAGCAGGGCCTGACAGAAGTCGTCCAGTTCCGGTAAGAGCTGGACAGTGTGTTTTAGCATCTCCCTGGTTACGGGAGACGTAGCAAGGTAGGGTATCTTCCGTTCTTCCGCTGCCAAAGCAACGCCGTTGTCATAGGGACCGATAATGGCGTCGATGGACCAATGTTGTATTCTTCGATGAACTGAAATAGGTTTTGAATTTATTGCTTTTAATTTTGATGGCACATTTATTTCATACTATAAAAAAGATAAATAATATATTTCAAAATAGAGCATATCACGAGCTGCCATATCAATACAATAACTAATTACACAACAAGAATATATCTCGTATTTATGTAAAAAAGATTCAATGTGTTTGATTCTGACTCCATTATGCGCATGTGTTAATGAATCGATAACAAACAGTGGAGATACCGGGTGTTCACGAAAAGGTGAGCGTATCCTGCCTTAGTGGTGACATCTATCACAAACACATGCAAAGGCAGTTAAATTGTTTGCCTGATAAAACACCGGCTCGCGATAGGGACAAACCCTTTTCCCTCACTATAACATTATTCGTTTTTATTTCTGGGTTTCCTCAAATATAATGTGAATGTCTATTGGTTGGATACTGATTTAGATGTAAAAAATAAGATTTTGCATTGCCGAAAATTAATGTGAAATACAAATGAATCTAAATATGCTGAAACGCTGGATGCTATTACCTTCTCCCATCCGTGTGTAGGTGCTCTGACCATCATTCGTGTAGATGTCGTGAAACTTCAGGTTGGTGATGTTGTAGTTGATGACGTTGCTAACGCCACGAGATGAGTTGGCCACCACTTCCCGCCATGATGGTAGCACCCCTGAGCAAATAAGAACATCATGTTTAATGTTTCATGTGGTATCACTGACTTTAATAAGACCTAATGACACCATTGTTGAAGTTTCAGTTTTTAGACAACAATACCATTACATATTATTGCAGATCGATGCTCATGCTGTTGATCACTGGATTGTCTGGTCCGGACTCGATTATGTACAGACCGCCGCCATATAGCTGGAATATTGCTGAGTTTGGCGTAAACCTAAACTCACTCACTCACTCATTTCGTTTCAAATTTCATGGCACCGTTTTGAAATATAGCTTCATGTTATTCAGGCAAATGCTATGCGATCTTCATATCGGTACTACATCAGTACAGTGATGTGATAGTTGATTCATTAACCAGTGTATCTCGCCACAGCGTGAGTGTGTTGATCTGCTTGACAATCATTTCTTCACACAATTTCGAAGGATGTGTTCAATTGATTACCATGATAATTATTCATTGCTACATTTTTGTAATATTATAATGTAGTCATTAACTTATTGACATGGAAACTAACTGATTTAAACAGCTCCTTAATTTACACCCCGTGTGATTGTCATAATTCTTCTAACCGCCTGTAAACGCTTTTTGAACAACTTTTAGTTGAAGTGGGCACACGGTCTTGCAAAACGATGTTTTCTCAGTCAACATTTTCATTCTCGTCAAATTTCACAAAGCGTGTATTAGAGTAGATATTAGTTGATATAACAGTATATCAGCCCACGTGTTTAGACAGACACGTTACACCACGGGGTTCCGACATCTAGAGCAAATCTAATGTAAGTCAGTTTTTTACTGCAATTTGTTTTTCTCATTTCTCCGGGAAGATAAATGCGGGCATCAGGTTATCGGGTCAGAGAGGTTGCCTCGTCTACTGAACACTCATCTGGTCAGTGATGGTGTGTGCGTGTGCGTGTGCGTGTGCGTGTGCGTTTCTATCAGTTTCTGTCTGTCTGCTTCCATTTGTCCATGTGTGTATACTTTCATATGAAAAAAGTCTGTCTCATCTGGACATTTTGATGTTTTTATGTCGCCATTGAATTGCCGCTATTTATTAGACATTATACTTGCTTCTATTAGCTGCTGTACCGAGACTGAATCAACGTTTTTATCATACGTGATTACTATCATCCCTAAGGGCATGTGGTACGCCCAAATTCAAACGTATACTGAACAAAAACGTTAAGAATCAGTGAAATATTTGATGATATTTTTTGTAAAATTGCGTAAAACTAAAATCAATTTCCCCCCCAACTAGTTGAAATGCCTATATATTTTTTGTTCAGTATAACACACAGTAATTCATGATGCCATGTTGTATACAGGGAAGAGTATCAGTTCCCGAGAGCTGAAGCACTTGGACTTCAGGTAATAGTACCTTCACTGATGAACGTTGCACCTGGCCTTCAAGATCACTTTACTCAATCCGTTTTTGTTTTATCGAATTCCCACCCACATTACAGTATCACCCGGCAACGATTTGCCACATTGAGGTCAGGACAGCAAGCACCACAGACGGGATGGTTGGGGATGCTGTTATTTCAATCAAACGATACCGTCATGGTAGAAAGGTAAACTTGAAATGTCAGACACAATGACTGCGGCAATAACCTCAGGATTAATAACAGGCGAGTCATGTTAGTTACTGGTTCAATAATAAAACCTACAGGGAACCTTGGGCACAGTCAAAGTCCTCGCAGTTTTGTTTCAAAATCCACCTTTTTCTGATGCCTCAACTTGTATGATACATATCAAGAATGTAATTATGACCCAAAGTACCGTCATTTATTTGTTAAACATACAGTTTCAACGTCTAGACCCAGACTGAGTTCCTCTTGAAGCTGATTTAGATTTATGATCCGTTTGATAGAAAAGACGGTTTTAGGAACTCCTCAAACCTTATCAATCCTGGAAATGCACTTGAGGACATAAACATGTCTGATCACGCAACAAAAACCTTCTTGAATGTACCCATTACCCGACCAATCCCAATGAAACAATATAAGTCAGTGATTTTATATGATACGTTGAAGAAAACGGTTAATGGAAAATATGTCTCGCAAAGCCATAAATCATGTGATCATTGTTTTTAGAGTAGACTCTAAACATCCTGGATGCCTTTGATTGGCCATTCCACAGAATAGAACTGCAACATGTCGCTCTTACGTGTTGCATAACAAGGCATCTGATACTACACTCTTGTGGGGTAGGGCATGGGCGTTGGTAAGGAATGTTGTATATAGATGACACGATACATCTACAAAATGTGAAATGACGATTTTTCTCAAAGGTGAATCGGTGTATAGGAAACGATAAAAGTTGTGTTTCAACACACATAGCACACAACCCACAATACGAAAAGGGATAGTCAGTGAAAGAAAGTCTGCACAATATTAGGAAAACATCCGCATTGGATAATGGTTGATGAAGTTCATTTCGTTCATAACCTCTGGATGAACTACAACATTTAGCTATTACATAATCCTACAGGAATTACAATGACGTTAATTACAACAAGCTAATTCAGTATCACTGTACAATAATATGAACGGCTAATTACCAATATTATCGAGTTAATGTAAATGTATGCATATTGATAAATAAATAATGTATCCCATATGATGGTAAAGATGTAATACAACCATTTTCAGTAATTCTCACAGAACAATGTACTTTCATGATGATTGGTTGATCAATACCATTATTCCTTTGTGGTCATTGTGAAAAGCGTCCCATAGCAAAGTGACGCCATATCAACGAATTGTCGCTTAAAAATGATACGTTCAATGAATAGCAAAAATGAAGTAGGAGATGGTTCTTGTGGCGCTGTACGTGGTAGGAGATGGTCATGGTGGCGCTGTTGTCTATGAAGGTTCCACCATTCAAAGAGGGTAGTCCCTGGAGAACTTGTTAGATTTTGTAAAAACTATGTAAAACGAGGAGTAAACTGTCTTGTCCAGCGACCATTTCTGAATTGATAAAGTATATCGGATTCATACAGACCTCACATGTCAACCATAAAAACAACTTAATGAACATAATATCGTTTCGTGAAGAGACCGAATTCCGAATGCTAGTTGCTCGAGCTATCTGTATGTTACTTATCTTCATCAGCCATTATCACCCACTTCATCACGTGGATGTTTGCAACCCTTATCTCAGGTGAACACAACGCACAGATTGCCAGAACCCTCGCGCAACCTTTCACGATGAACACATTGCCAGAGGAGGCTTCACTAGGCAGTGAACCACATAACGCACTACGTGAAGCCTAATGTCAATGGTCTGCTCTTAACATCCTGGCCTATATATACTAAGGTGTTAATTTAACGGCTGAGTTACGCCGAAGTATGCCAACTGCCGTCTTCGCGCCACAAGACGTTTAATTGGGTGGTTCAGGATGAGGTTATCTCGACATCACCATCCCGCAACAGCAGTTGTTATATCTCCATCTGCGTGCAACACGTGGACATAGGAGTGAGGGTGGTGGTGAGATGGTAGTCTGTCCCACAGTCCCTGAACCACATTATTTTCCCTAATGCATAGCCCTCCCTGCAATGCTAAAGTTCTAAATGAAGCAAGTCTAGATCAGGGCTCCCAACTCACTGGGGCTCCTTTTCAATTTAAATGGGTTTATTTGTTACAATCAAAATTATATATATATATATATATATATATACACACACACACACACACATATATATATATATATGTATATATGTATGTGTATGTATATATATACATATATATATGTATGTGTGTGTGTATATATATATATATATATATGTATGTGTGTGTGTGTGTGTGTGTATAATTTTGATTGTATATATGTATATTCAGGGACTAAGCGCTAGTCTAGTGGGATGGGTGTAATGTCGCATCTGTTTCAAAAATATGATACTGACATATATCATACCTCTGTCGAAACGTATAAAAATCTATCAAATGTATCATGACTGTCACACATCATATTACACGGGTAAAATACCGTATCGAAATATATCATTTAACTGCAGCATTTATCCATGACATTAGCTTATGGCATAAATCATGTATACCATACCCCAATAACAAGTGTATGCAAAATAAATAACCGGGGATAAAGTGGGATCTTTTTATGCCAAAGCGCGGTTTGATCCGAAAGCTTAACATCAGTGAAACTGTCCCCGAGATATAAACAAATGACACAAAATTGTTGTTTGCGTTTTAAAAGCTTCAATCATTCTGCAAAACCCTGTTCAAGAATAAACAAAATTATAAGCAATGTATTTTCTCAGCGAATGACATGTGAGACACACTCGTGATGAATCCGCTATATGTTAAACAAAATCATATCGGTATAAAGTGGTGTCATATGGATGCCAGCATGGTATCACACGTTAAAAGGTGTGTCGAACCGTATCAAAACTGTAACAAAAGTGACAAATCTCACCATACTTTTGTCATCATACAGAACGTGTCAAATCATAACATATACCGTCAAATAGAATCACAAGTATGTCAAAACGTATTTTAACGATGTAAGATCGTACCAAATGTTGTCAATCGTATAATAATGGCGTCATCCAGTCACTCAACTATTCAACCGATCAATCACCATTCACAGAGGTACATAACATGTTACATATGATAGTAGCACAGGCAGCTTTAGAAAATTTCAACCCATTACCTATACACTTTGGAAATTTAGCACATTTTCAAAACTGAAAATATTTTTCAACACAATTTAAAAAAATAATTTTGCTTTTAAAATAACCCGCCTTTAATCACAAAAGCTCCGCACTCAAAGAAATAATGGAACTCACGTGTCAAATGGTATCACAATGCTATCAAATGTGTCAAATCTTATCATAAGGATGTCAAATCTTCACAAAATGTGTGAAATTGTATCATAAGGGTGTCAAATCTTTACAAAATGTGTCATATCATAAGGGTGTCAGATCCCTACAAAATGTGTCAAATCGTATCACAAGGGTGTCAAATCTTTACAAAATGTGTCAAATCGTATCGTTACAGTGTCTTTAAGAGACCACGAATATGTCAAAACGTATCATCAGGTGTCGAGAAAGTGAAAAATAACATAGATTGTCCAAAAGAAAATAGTAAACAATTAATTATGTTTAAAGCGGTTCAGAACTTAAGAAATTGTACTAAACAGGACTTCCCGTCTATGTTGATGCCCATAGTCTTAAACGTATATGCGTGTGCAGCAGTAGCTGATACAATATCAGGTCTAAATACAACATGCCCAACGCCTCCTCTTCTCCCAGGCGGAAACACTGTTGAATTGTGTTTCTGTTTTATAGCTGTGCAGTAATCCTTGGGAGTGGAATTATCTTTATACCCTTGTTTTTGAAAGCGCAAAATATACTTTGGGCATTTTAAAAGCTTTTTTAATAGTAAGCATGTGATCTTTGAACTTTTGGCAGACGAATTTTTTAAAGATTTGTTAACATCAGTACGTCATGTCGGGTGTTTTCTTTGAGGCCAGGGGCGGTGGGGTAGTCTAGTGGTTAAAGCGTTGGCTCGTCACGCCGAAGACCCGGGTTCGAATCCCCACATGGGTACAATGAGTGAAGCCCATTTCTGGTGTTTCCCGCCGTGATATTGCTGGAATATTGCTAAAAGCGGCGTAAAACCAAACTCAGTCAGTCCATCTTTGAGGCCAGACGTCATTTTGGATGTTTTGTTTGACACCAGTACGTCATTTATGAAGCTTTGTTAGACGTCGGTAATTGTTGTCCGAATTTTATAATGCTTTACAATAATAGTTACCTATATGTCTATCAGCTGAATTCCGTCATAGGTATTTGATAGAACACTGACACCTGGTGTTGAGCAATGCTTCACACGTCTAGGACGATCTATTGTCTACCTCTTATTCCACGGTCTTCTATTTGTTCGATTTCTGATTTGTTCCATGTGTCCCACATAGGTACAATGTTTGAATCCCTTTTCTGGTGTCCCCCGCCGGCATGTTGCTTGAATATTGCTAAAAGCGGCGTAAAACCCTACTCACTCACTCACTTTTCCATGAGTTGGTCGGCGATTTATATGTTACCCTTTGTTCCAAACAGTACTATAGTACTGCGTGCATGTGTCCAAAAGTAGAACACAGTATAGTAATTATATTGCCTTTAGCTCCATCTAATCAGAAATCAGCAGGCCAGTTATCGGAGACTGTGTGTACACGCCCTCATAATTACACTGCTCTTTTATTAAAGCATTATCACAGGGACTCGAAATTGAAAAATATGTCAATAATAATGAGTTGCTGCGTTAAGTGCAAACTTGAAACAATTGATTTTCCGTCGCACACAATACTTTCCGATTGCGCAACTATTGGCAAAATCCGTATGACAACGTGACAGATGTTTTCAACGTGACCAAACACATCCCTTCAGCGTTGCTGTGAGCTACCAACGACATTAATTTAACTTTTTATTAGGTTTGAAATTATAACGAATAAAACCATGAACAGCTTGGTAATATGATACTAATCGCCATCAGCATGTACCACAGGTTAGTCATCTGCCTTTCATGTCCAGAGCGCGTTGAGTTATTGGAATCGTTTTGATTAAACTGACAGTTGTAAGATCAGATCACGTCGCTTGTTCGAAATCGGAATCAACATGAAAAACGTATCTGCGCAATATGAAATGCATTTTTAGGATGCTGTGAGAAAGGTCTTAGAAACATCTGTTCCAAGTATGGCATTAACTTCTTGTCTTAGGATATGAACTGTCGGTCAAAACAGAGTATACATCTGAAAATGTGATTTGACCAAAATGTTACTTTATATCTGATGTAAGTAAAACGTTACTAGTTTTATGAAGAATAGTAGTCCTAGGGTTAATTTTATTCCGCTTTTATTTTTTGACTTTCCGCATGCCATTCCTATTTTTCTGAGACATATTACTACAATGTATATGATAATCAGTACTATCAGGGCACTCATATCCAGATACATAGCCACACCTGGACTGCCTATCGTACTTGTATCAATCGGGTTAGCATTGGTCTTCAGTAACCCGTGCTTGTCGTAAGAGTCGACTAACGGGATCGGGTGATGAAGCTCACTGACTTGGCTGACACATGTCATCGTATCCCAATTGTGTAGAACCATGTTCATGCTGTTGGTCACTGGATTGTTCGGTCCAAACTCGAATATTTACCGACCGCCGCCATATAGCTGGAATATTGCTGGTAGCGACGTCAGACAACAAACAATGCTAAGTGATTTAGGTATATGTTTAAAATTTAAAGTTTCAAACGCTTCCTAATCGTAGAAGCGAAGACACATACAAATGTTCTATATCTTCGATGAAAAGACATCCAACGTCCAGTAATGGGTGAGTGTCTGCAGTTGTTCCCAAGAACGGTCATAGCATTTCCATGCCCTGTGATGGGATTCGTAACAAGAACCTTCTGATCCGATATCGGACACCTTGTCCACATGACCAAAGAGGTTGACCACGTCACCAGACTGACAAGGAAGGGTATAACGTGGGATGACTCCACTATCTCCACCTCTTCTCAAATAAAAATATATACCCGAACAAGAACCAAAATGCCCAAATTCCTTGGGTGACAGCTGTTCTTGTGACTATATAAGCTGGCAGTGTTACCTACCTATATTAAGCGTGGCTGCGAACGCTCCATGGCCGATAAACCACACTGTGCAAATGACCAGGTGAGCTAAAACCACACCTCCTGCCATCTTGAGCATATCCTTGACCACTCACTCTATAGGACTGTCATTCCTGAAACAAAAAATCAACTAATTATGGCCGATATAAAAGAATTTTTTATCTACTTGAACATGAAATACTGCTGAAAGTAGATTGATCAGGTTTAAACATTCAAGGCATCAGTAAAACTTTCAAATGTTTTGTGGTAGAGAACACAGCAGATCAGTGCATTTTATTCTTGATATCATTCTATAATATAGTTGTAAATTGTATAACATTTCCTTGTTGGTTGTTGGTTTCACACCTAAATGTTTTGGAACAGACTTTTGGTTAATTTATTGATTTTCCAACTACTTCCACTGCTGTTGTATCACGTATTTCCATTGTTGTACTGCAATTGAATTTTGTGCTGCCGCTGTATTGTGTACTACCGTTTTAAATACTCCGCAGTGATTTGTATTGATTTGTTAATCTAGATAGTTTTCTAATGTATAATGTTATTGATAAAAGTATAACATTTAGTTATTGGTTCTTTTATGTATCGATTTCTAGGTTAACTTATTGTTTCAATTAGGAAGGGGACACGAAACAACTTTCACGACAAACGTTGGATCAGAACAACGACTGAGAGGCCACTTCGATCATGATATTTGTATAGGTACTATGCCATCAGCTATTAGTGCCAGAAGTGTCTCTGGGAGCGTGGGTCGTGATCCCAACAGCTGCACCACGGTCCCTAATCGCTGGGAAATATGTATAATGTTTAATCAAACGAGAGTTATTTAGCAAATCATTTACACATCTAACGGCTGATTACTAATCACTATGCTTACACTCCTTTGTTGGGCTACAAAGTGCTGTAATGGTAAAATAAGATGCTGCGCGGCTTTAGACAGCAAAGTATTGTGATGGAAAAGAGAAAGATACTGTGCAATTTTAAGCAACAATAACTTTATTCTTTTTTCTCTTTTATTTTATTAATTTACTTTGGAGGTTGGGAGTTGGGGAGGGGGTAGTGCGTGTTCAATTCGGATCATTTTCACTACTAATTTGATTTTAACGCCATGTGGAATCTGTTTCGACTGTAAATCGAAACGTCGACGCCACCGTTTTACTGTTAAGAAATTCTCTGAAGACGTATTTATTTTCATTAAATGACAGAGACATGCACATGGTCCACGAGAGCGAATTAGGATCCAATCTTTCAAGCAGGAAATAGTATTTTTCAGTATTTCCTGTGATAGATTTGATTAAGTGTTTGCCAATTGTTTTTCCTAAAGTCATACCACATACAGTTCAGTAATTCAGTTTTAAATTTATTTAACATGTGTTTTACGTACATGGAATGAGGTTATCAAAATGCCATCATGAGATAACATTGTACATATCAGTATCCATGGAACATGTACATTTCATTAGCCAGGATTCCACTAGTGTTCAAAGCAAGGGGCTAGCTGTCCATCAGCAGTACCAGTGAGTAGCCATCTGCATCACTTTGGCTATTCAGTTTCAGGAGCCATGAACCGTACTCTGGGCAATCAAAAACTATTTAAAGTTTTCAAGGGGGCATGAAAATGGGTGAAGGTGAGGTGAAATCGGGTTTAACGTCGTATTTGAGAATATTTCGCTCATATGACGACATGCATGCGTGTGTATGTGTGGCTGCTTGTACTAGCCCAGACTGAAGCTGGTTTTATATGGTGCTAGCTCACTGAGATACCATGCCGCAGTTAAGCATATACACCATACTCAGACACATTATACTGACTCCGAGCCGACCAGTCCTTATTGTACCCATTTATGCCGAGCGCCAGGCAGGGACCAACAAGTACCATATTTTAACGTCTTTTGGTATGACACAGTCAGGGATCGAACCCACGACCTTCCGCTCTCCGGGCGGACCATGAAAATAGGAGTGTGAGTACTAGGTTGGGGGGTGGGGTGGGGGTGCGATTCCTGATCTTGAACCATTCTCTACATACTGGGACATCAGTAACTTTGGAGTGTGTATGATAGATGTTATAGATGATAAGGTTGTCTTTCACGACAAAGGCGTTGTTTACTAGTGAAAAAGTTGAGTCGATTCTATTTAAGTTTCTCAGAAGATATCAGTATTTCCCACTTACCAAGATTAGACAGAAACGGAATGAACACTTAATCCAAGAACTCTTGTGTGTACTGCGTGAGTGAGTGAGTGAGTGAGTGAGTTATATCAGCATCTGATGTGGAAGGAAAGCCCTATGCGATGCAGTTCTGAGACTGAGCACGGATAAGATGCTGACAAGCCAAGTAACACATATCAGGTCTGACCGGGATTCAAACCTACGATCATATGTTTCTGGCATGTCTAAGGGACGCAACTCATCACATTAAATTACGACTCCCTGGACAGCTGAGGCTCCATGGTTCCTGCAACTGCACATTTGCTGTAAAGCATGGTAAAAGAGATACACTCAGTGTAAACCAGACTGCACCATTTTATTGATTGTTTCAATATCATATAACCTACTTTCATTATACTTTGTTTGTTTTATGTTCTTTTATACACCACGACGCATGTAAAATATTAAGCATGTTTGACAACTACGGATGCGACCTGTTGCAGTGGCAACTAGTTGTGAGATCCATGGTGACACACGCTCGAGTCCGGAGCCAGCAGTGAGTTTTTATAATAGAGTTAATAAATGTATTAGATTCTCGGCGCTATATCCTGAATCAGTGTGTTAGATATTCGACGCTGTATGCTTCTCAAACCTAACGAAGAATATCAGCATGTGGAATTACGTACTTGAAACCTGTAACCTAGTTAGTTTTTTCCAATTATATGACAGCTCTTACTCATGTCTCATGTTCAACACATATTTTATTAGGCTAAAAGAATGTATTATTAAAAGAGAGTTTCCAAGTAAAAAACTAGTGTATGTCGAATTAAAGAATCACCAAATGTATTTCTCATATACAACAATGTTGAAAGCCCCACCTGTCCAATTCCTTATTTATTCAACAATTCCAATGTTTCCAGAAATTCTACTACATTTTGTGCCACTATGAGAACAATAACGGCTTTGTTGGTAGGTTGTGGATGAGGAACTTCTGCGTGTTTTGCACCGCGTTTATCTATACTACCCATCAAAAGTTTAGACTCACTTAAAGCGATCACTATATGTTATGCATATATGTATGGTTACATCGAAGATGAATTTCTCCACTAACTTTGGGGAACCAACTGCAAACTGTATGCTGATGAATTGCACGAGGATCATGCATTAAATTGCATTAAAAGCATGTGCAAATATCGTGCATGTGAACAGCTGTGTTGTGGTGTAAAATCTTGTAAACATTCGCCAATTTTCACTCACTTTCATCATTTTTTTAACCCATGACAATAATCTTTTCAACGTTACGAATTTGTTTTACAATACATCTGTTCATGTGTAAACAGTACCTTTAAACAGTATGGAAACATTTGCAAAATCTAGTTTAGAAGAGTTGACTTAAGTAAGTGGCTACATTTACACTAGTGAGTCTAAACGTTTGATGGGGAGTATATATTCAAGGAACGCAGTCCCAAAGTCAAGGTTGAACGCAATTCAAGGTAAAACTGAATACATAATTCCCGACTTATTCAGCTGTTACAACATGTGTGGTAACGTGAAGTATGTGCGTCAGATCAAATTTTTCCTATGTATTTGACTCCATAAAGACCTAGGGTAGAATTGGTCTTTAAGCACATCATGCTTGTAATAAGAGGCAGCTAACGTGATCGGGTGATCAGGTTCGCTGACTTTGTATCTTAATTGCGTAGATCAATGTTCGTGATGTGAATCACTGGATTGTCTGGTTCAGACTCGATTATTTACAGACCGCCGACAATGGAAAATTGCTGAGCGCGGTGTTTAACAAACAAATAATCCTAGTATACATTTGTATATGTAACGTTTCTTACATCTATCACAAATATTCAAACGCCAGTATCCATAAACTCTTTGTTTCATATTTCTATGTCAGCCTGTCTAGACGTTATATCTACTACATTTACACATACAGTAAGCTATAAATAGTATATACTCATGCCAATAATGGTTGTCACCCTCCCACCCCAACCCCACACACCTCACACCCCCATCCCACACCCCTCTCCAATTAAAAGAATTGAAGGGGATGACAACCATTATTGGCATGAGTATAGTAACTGTTGCTATTTTTATCATTAAATATTGCTATACTAAATGCATCAGGTTCATGTATAATATGGAACCCCGGCTGCTGCAGCCAATCTTGGTCACCAGGTATATGTACATTGGGAAGGTAATGCTTTCGTGGAGGTATTCCAGCACGCACTATGTCTTCTGATATACTAGCCTCTAGCCTCATTTCAGCAATGGTACAATGTTGTCACACAATATTGGAACTGTTGCTGTCAGGTTTCAGATCGAGATATGGGCATGTAAAGATTGACTAAATATAGGCAGTGGCTGCATCATTATGGCCGAGAGCTTCTTCCTTGTTCATGCTAGAATCATTCTGTCGTGGTTTCCATGTTGTTGTGACATCGTCTACATGGTAACTGCCAATTTCATGTGTCGTTAAAAAGTCACTCTACCACTCGTCATTATCAATTATCACTTTCCTGGATTTAAGATTTTACAAATCTGACACTTTGTTATCCCTTTTCTTTTGAAAACCTGCAATTAATATTCTCAGTATACTTTCCACAGGTTTTGGCGAATATATGGACAACGATATTTTGCGTTGACAATAACCGATGCGTGTAACACAAACGACGTTTTTTGCGATTTTTCTCACACAAAAGTCACCTTTCTGGTGATAATTCATTTTTTAGATTTCAATAGTGTAAATGTTTAAAGAAATATTTCACACATATAATGAAAACCATGATGTATCAGGAATGGATGGAATGGCCAGGTGTAGTCAGTAGACGAAGAAGAGTACCACTACTTGTTCCACGCGTTATATCATCATGGGAATCGTCTAAAATGACAGCTGTGTTGACAAAAACAACAACTAAACTATCAAAACTGGACTCTCACTTACAACACAATTTATAACAA